TTAAAAACATCTGTCAAAATAATGAAGGCGTATTCTTCTTCATATTATATATAGTAGTAGTAGTCTTTAGTTTTTCTGTCTATTTCCTCTACATTTCTACTACCTGGTATGTTTCCAATCACCAAGTCGTATAATGGTTTCTTGATACACATGGCTTCAAGGTCTTCTACTTAATATGGAGTATCCATTTGTATTTTTGCCATGGGAAACTTCCTCACTGTCCCATCACTTAACACACACACACACAGGCATACCTTACCTGTTATCTGATCATCAGATACTAAACTGGTTATCACTACTGCACTACTGCACCCAGTGTCTCGTACGACCTTCACTTTCTTGTCCCCAACATAGCCTTCACATATTGGTATATTATGATTTGGCACCTCTTGATATTTGTCACAAGCTCCCATCACTATTGGCACTGTTGACCCGTTTGCTAACTTGTGCACTGATTAATCATGCTTTCTTGTATTGAATTTGACAAGTAGTTCTGATTCTCTTTCTTCTGGCTGCAGCATCCATAGTGCCAGTCGCCCTTTTCTTGTTTCTTACCAGCACTGTCTTTATAAATAGCTCCAGCGGCTTTATGTTGAGGTTTCTGCTGTTGTTTGCTGGTGATGGACTTGCACTCCTTTGCAATGTGTTTCATTTAATAACAAACATAGCATTTCTTCTCCCTTCTGTCTATTACCCTCCTGTCATCTTTGGTAAACTCCAGCTTATGGTCAGCCATTACTGGTTTCAAATTTATTTGGACATTCTTGGACTTGCCAGTTATACTACCTCCATGGGCTTCCATATACTGTTCTGCCAGCTTGATTATATCGTCAACGTCTTTTGGTGCTCTCTCCTTTAGGAACAGTGACATGTCAATTGAACACGTGGTCATGAATTGTTCACGTACTAATACGTCTGCCAGTCCTTCAAACTATTTTCACACATGGCCATGTCAGTCCATCTGGTGAAATATCGCCGTAGGCGTGCCACAAACTGAAATACAGTTTCTCCAGTGTCGGGTTTGACTCCTTTGAACTTCCTGTGAAAACCTTCTTCAGTCAGTTCATATAGTTTCAGTAAAGCCACTTTTAATTTGTCATAGCCCATGGCATCTTCTGACGTCATGTCTGTATATGTGTGTAGGACTTTTCCTGTGAGAAGTGAGCTGAGACAGACTGTTCAGTCGCCTTTGTCCCAGTTCTGACTTTGGACAAATCTTTCATATCTCTCCAGTAAAACATCCATGTCATCTTTAAATTTATCAAATTTGGGCAGCTTCGATCGGCTGGCCCTGACTCCATTGTCACTCTTGGGTCCTTTACCCTTCAGTTGGATGAGTTTTGCTATTTCAATTTGTGCTCTTATTCTTTCTCTCATTTTCTTCTCTCTCCTTTTCTTTTCTATCTACGCTCTTCTCTCTCCAGTTCTTGTTGTTGTTTGACAAACTCTCGTATTTCACTGTCTTTTAACCCAAGACGTTCTTCTCTTTCAACCCATTTATCAAAATCGCCTGACATGGTTATATAGGGTAATTGTAATCTCTACATTATTTGCGCTACTACTACAGTTGTGCGTATATAGGCCTACTGGCTGTGACTCGCCAATTGTCAAAATAATGAAGGTTAATTCTTCTTAATATTATAAATAGTAGTAGTCTTTAGTAAGTAG